AAAAAAAATGATAAATCAAAATTATATTTCTATACAGTGCAATGAACTTAATATTATCAGCAGTTCCAAATTTGAATGATTTTTGCGTCATTTCGATGTATCCATAGTCAATACCGCAGTAATCACTGAACTCGAATGGCAATTCTCGCACTCAAAACGGTTCGAACCGATTTGTACGATAAATCGTATGAACTTGAAAAAATGTCATACGAGATCGTGTTTAGACAAGTCGAAAACTCGTAAGCAAGAATCTCCTTACTACATATTTCTCCGTGTAAACAGTCGAGGAGGCGATTAAGTTGCTTACGAATCTCGTATGACATAATCGTAGGCGAGATTTTAGTTCTTGCCTGAATGTAAACATTATGATACGATAATCTTATGGCGATTATTGCTTACGAGAATCGCCTACGAGTTTTCGTCTCGAAGCGTGCGAGAAACTCTCCCCATCTAAATGGGCCTTAACTTTATTTTATTGAAATCATGATTGAACAATGTCCGTGCTGGAATAAGAGTTTTCTTGCATGTTGACAGCAAATGCGTTAAAAATTGACAAAATTGTCGTTTTCGGACTAGTGTTCGCAACCTAATTTCCGTGACAATTTTTATTACTTAACACACTCGGCGCCATGTGGGCCGCCGGCCGTCCACAAAATCCCAAATGCAGCAGGCCACAACGTATTTTCGAATTTTATCTGGCAGGCCATGTGGGCCACCGCGTACCACAATTAGGAATTTAAATTTATTTTCGATTTTTCTAGTCCTGTCCACAGACCAGCCAAAAGTTGCATCAGCAGGCCGACAATATAAGTTGTGCGTTCGGCGAACACAGCCAATTGTTTGGCTCTTCTGCTAACAGCTGATCCAGACCATAATCAAGTATCGATCTCGTGTCCCGCCGGTAGCCCACTTGGCCTACTACAAAAGTTTCTTAAGGTCAGGCATGGCGTGCAGTGAAAAAAAAATACGTCTCCCGCGCGCCGCCCACGACCTGCTGCTTCAGAAAAATTGTTTGTTCTATGGCGCTGAGAGTGTTAAGTATTCGGTTTTTTTATCGTCCAATATTCGAGTACTACCTATATCGTGAAATATTATTTTTATTTCTCATGCTCTAATAGTACATCAATATAGCTTTACGTAGCCGGAGTGAATTGCATCCTACAATCCATAAGGATTAAAAAGTATCTCGGTTTTTAATTTACTTTGACTGAACCAACTCAAACAGCCAGTGTAGTACGCTCGGTTTTAGTTCCGTGCCCTTTCCGCATAGACGGTGGCGCCATATATATTTACCCGCGTTATTGAGTTTTGTTGTATTTGTCTGGTTGGAAAAAAATATTGGCTATACATTTTGCACGATAAAGCACCGAATATTTAAGTAATAAAAATTGCCACGTAAATTAGGTAGTGAGACCGAAAACTACCGTTTTGTCAGTTTACGAAAAATGTTAGTTTTTTTTTCTATTTTCGTCATTTTACTAAAGAGGGTGTGATACAATTGTACCCCACCCTTCAACACTTTTAAACGTGTCTGCTGTCAATATGCTATAAAAATCTGATTCCAGCACGACCATTGTTCTATCTTGATTTCAATAAAAAAAGTTATTGTGTTGGTTGTAGTTGTAAAAAAATAGATTTAGTCGGTACGCCGTTTTTTAACTAACAAGAATGTTTCACTGGCTATGCATGAACAAGCTTATTACGGCGGCACTATTTTTAAATCTCAAGAAACACAATTCTCCACGTAGACTTGATTGCACTCAAATAAGCACACTTGAGATAAGATGTTGACGCGTGCTGGCCATGACCACCAATAAGTCAAGCTGCCACTTGGGATACCACCCTTAAACTACACCGTGTAAGACCTTATTACATTAAAATTATTTATCATTAATGGCAAGGAACTTAATTAAGCAAAATCACAAAAACAAATCTGATTCTGAGTCTACAGAGTGGCAATAGAGAACATGGTCATAAATTACGTAATGATATATTTTTCAAATATGGAATTCAAAATAAATTAACAATCCAAGAGGGAATAATTAATTACTGAACAATGATCTCAAATTATTATTAAGTCAATGAATAGTTTGAGCCACATTTAAATTAAAAGTAAGCTTGCTAAAACTAAAATGGCCGCCAATTGAATTGGCGTTTCCCGCGCTCCAGCCGAAAGTGATACTTCGAACATTTGCGCTTGCGTGATATTGTGTGCTTCCGTTACTTCTGGGTCTTCGAGTATAGGTGTTATTTCTGAATAATCCGTAGACGGTCTCTTCACAGCTGAAACACAAAACGTCTGTCATACGTTGAAACTAAAAACCAAAGGTCGGAAAAAGGTGTTCCACATACATATATAGATAAATACAAGCTAGAAGGAGCGACAAAGAGTTGTTAAAAGCACCAAATATTAATTAATTACTTTTTCGAATTCCGGAAATGATTTTACTGCATCGTAGGACAAACTGACATAGGACGTCGAAGCTGGATTTTCATTTCTTTAATTTCTTGACATTGGCATTCTCTTTTGTCGATTACTGATATTAGAAGACAATATTTTTGAATCACCTAATTGTAAATTATGTATAAATAAAGATACTCACACAGAGGTTCCGTGGCAAAATGCAAAACAGCGGACTGTTTGCTCCACCCAAACCTGTGAAAAAATTCAATTAGGCTACCTTTTTATTTTGGCAATGATGACAATTTCAAGATTAGAGATATTTAAAAGTGGATCATTTTGCTTTGTTCAAGCGTCAGAAACACTGGCTTCATTTCAGATTTAATTTTTTTACAAACGAAGTTAAAGACATTTGAATAATGTGTATCGTATAACATACGTGTTCTATTTAGTTCAGTTGATATTAAAAAAAAATCATTGTTATATATAAAGTACCTATCGTAATATACCTATACAGCTTGTGTTTTTTTTTTATCGTAAAAATGTGTTAGGAATCGTGTTTTCACAGCGTATAGTATTGATTGAACATTTTCACTGTTTGCGGAATCAACCAATGCCATTTGCGGGTTGTATAGACTCTTAAATCGACGTTGATGATTCAAAGGAAACAAGTTCGGTTATTTATTGCACAACAGTAACCAACATTCAATCGATACTCGACTGAATATTCATCGACTGCCAATACTAGCTGCTTGTAAGCGGGCAACACTTTTGAAAAAAGACAGACTATAGTCCATTCTTTAGAAAACTTGCCTGTTTCTGGATGTTACTACTGCTTCATATACAGTGGATGGCGCGAGACCTCTCAAAGTATACCATGCGGAATGGATTGGGCCTGAGTAACAAAAAAAGATAATTGGTAACATATACAGGCTGCCCCACGGCTATGCCATGCGGATGGAAAGTACCTTAAATACCGTAGATAGAAACTTTTACAGAAAGAAGACTTCATTTTGATTTGAAAAACCATTCGAACTGTATTTAAAGATTTTTTAAATAATCGCCTGTAACGCCTGTAATTTTACTATACTGATCGAAAGCCTCTATCATTAGGATTGTTTTCTTCTAAATAACATAGCATCTTAAATAAAAGGAAGACCATGAAATTTAATATTGTACACGGGCTGATCCAGGGTCAACATGCTGATTTTGATTCAAAACGGACTCGGGTAGTCTCGAAGTCAGACGAGTTTCTGAGCGAGAAGATGAACCTGATTCCTACTATATATTCCTAATTTGTTAGTTAAATCCATTGACTTACAAATAAATGGACGATGGGTCTAATACAAAAATCACGAAAAAAATGTCCCAAGTCGACCTATTTAAACGTAGTGACATGTAAAGGAATATGAAAAAGCTAAAACGTTGAATTTAAATTGTAATGTCATCGCAGTACTGTCTAATTTTGCTTGCTTCGCTGTCAGTCGAACAAACGAAGACTAAAGCGTGAATGACGCTCTGTATACGATTTTAACGCCCTATAAGTTCGGACACTTTTTAGCGCGGACCCCGACGTCCATATAATTGTAAGTCAATGGTTAAATCAAATATTGTTCCGATTAGAAATGTCAAAAGTTTCCAATCGGCCGGTTGTGAATCGCAATTATGCGCCTCGACTCGGAAGAGACGCGGTATCAATCAAAATCAAGCTGCAGGACCTAAACTTAAAAGGTTTGTTGCACTGGCTATAGGTAGTGCCGGTCCCGATAACCAAGAGGTTACTATAATCAAAACACATATCGGAAATACGGGACCGTGCTTGGGTCAGGAAATTAGAGTGCATTTAAATTATAATAGTAGGTATGACTATGTAGAAATACGTGCCATCAATATTTTCTCCTGGCACGACAATCTTCCTCCATTGGTTGGAAGATGCTTCAGTCGTCTCGTCATCCCTGTGGCCGTAGTAGGGCCGGATCCACAAGTTGTATTCTGTAATTAAATTTTTCGTCCTATCGTGCCCTTGGTGTAATAAAGCGACATCTAATCAATGATATATGTATATAAAACAAAAATAAAATAGTTTATTTGACATACAAAGAAAAGCCTGATAGTGATAGCCGGGTTGATAGTTAGCCCGTGACTATCACCTGGCCAAAATGTCGGGAAACTAGGTAGGTGTTAAAAATACCTATTCGTATGTAAACGCGTTTATTCATGTTGCCAAATGTTCGTTTTTCGCTATTTTGAAATAATTTTAAATCTCGTTTTTCTTTTATGTAGCTTATAATTTAACAACTTTATTTTATAATTCACGCTAAATAGCTAAATACCAATTCTATTACCCACTGTACATTTTTATTTTTTATTTAAACATTTATTTCAGACTACATGACCCATATAATATATACCTTAAGTCCTTAAACATAGGTACAAAAAAAAAAGGTACAATGTAATATGACAATAAAATAAACTAAACAACTAATCTACACGTATCACATCGGCGACGTGTGGCGCACTCTGGTGTCAGTTAACCGGCCGCGGAATCGCCGATACACGACACCCTTCGGCCAAAATTCTTCCTTCATGAAGGTCGACAGATGTTCGGTCGGTACTCTTACTACAAACGACTTAAAATTTACGTTGTGGCGGGACTCCAACCGCCCAACCCTCAGGTTGTATTTAGCCTGATGTATTCCACTATCTCCTCTGAGTTCGTGGAGTAATGTAATCGCGACAGGTACAGCTTTAAACCATTGGGTCTTCCAGTAAAGACGCCTTGCTAACTAAGCAAGTATATGCTTGGTGCAGATCTTTTGTATTCGGTTTTTCACGACTTTTTTGCCGTAACGCCTGCTGTGCGAAATCTATTTCTTCACTCAGCCAGGTACCTTTACAGCTACCAGCAGATAACTAGAGATGTAGCTTTTAAAAATTATTATTTTTAAGTTTATTGAAAGTCACGACATTTTAGCCCGCATAAGGGTGACCTTTATCTTACCTATAATAGCGGAATATGAGTCAACTTCCCAAATTAGCGTGTAACTTGTTCCCGTGGCTCTGTTTAATGCGGGATCCACTTTAAACGAAGCTGCGTTGGGTACCCCTGTGAAAAAGGAAAGAAAATTAAATGACTGAGAAAATTTAAGGAGATCGGGACATGACGAGAGCCTGTAACCTTTAAAAACTTTAAATCCCAAAGATCTGAGGGGCACTGCCACTGCGCTCGTCACCCTGAGACATAAGTTGACAAGTTCCATGTGCCTGTAATTTGACATTTTAACAAATGGCGGTGTGACGTTACAATGAATCTTTATGCGTAGACGCCTTTGTGTACCATGCGCGTTACATACTAGGGAGCGACGAGAGAAAGAAACAAAACATTTCCACAATTGATTTAGTAAATATTCACAATTCATTGATTTAAATATTCACGGTTTTTAAAAAACTGAGACTTAATTGTATAAAAGGATTCCTCCTCTTCTCTATCGATCTCCATTCGATTGTATTTTTGTTGCATGTACGTATATTACGCTATTACTCTGGCATTACATTCGTAAACCGATTTCGATGTTTCTTTTTTGTTGGAAAGAACCCTTTTCCCCACCTCAGTATTGGTCCCATTTAAATTGAAGAAAATATTCCACCTCTAAGGGTGGGGATGGATCCAATTTCGTGCACTTTCCGGCAACCTATGTAGAAAATAATCTCAGTACAGAGTACTAAAAAAACCGACCTCAAAAGTACGTGGAATTACGTCTATTTGCTAAGTTTCATTGAAATATCCCCTAGTTTGCCACTACACAGGACTTGATACTGGAGATAATAAAAATAGGTTTTCACTACGACACTACTCAAAGTATGTATATCGAGGGAAAAACGCCTTGAATTGATGAAATAGCAAAATCAACTAAATAATTGCTAAAAGTAATTGCTCCTAAAATAAAGTTAGGCGCTATTTATAAAAATGAATCTTCATGCGTGAACAGCCACCCTTTGAGGTGGATGATTTCCTTCAAAATAAAATGGGACCACTATGGAAGTACCTCCTTTCCAACAAAAAAAGAATCATGAAAATCGGTTCACAAATACCGGAGTTATCGCGTAACATACATACAAAAAAAACATACAGTCGAATTGAGAACCTCCTCCTTTTTTGAAGTCGGTTAAAAAACACAAAGTCACCTCGAAATGTTACAAGAAAACCGCTGTATTCAATAGGTCCCTTACATATACCAATGATGTTTTTTATATCAACTAAAATCATTAGAACACGTTTACTATACGTTTGCAAAAAAATTAATTCTGAAATAAAACCAGTGTCCCCGCCGCCGGACCCAAGCAAAATAAACCGTATTAGTACGGAACAATTTTGAATTGGACCTGAGGTAGCTTCGACTAGTAAGTTTCAAGTGTCGACATATCCAAGACTCAATACGGCGCCCTATTTCCCACGTGAATTTTATGTTCATAGAAATAAGTATTCTTATTGCAGAGCAATTACTCACCGGTAAGTTTAAAAGAAACATCAGCCATGCCGAGGCTGTTTTCAGCTCTAAATGTGTAGTTGCCGAAGTCCGACGGGCGGACCTCGCGGAAGATTAACAGATGTTGGTCGTCTTTTACCATAATTGCTATTCTGGAAGTATCAAATACAAATGTAATTAATCAGGTCCATTCATAAGTAAATAGAGACTTTGTTCCGTGTCTTAGGCATATGGCACGGATTGCTTTAAGGTGCTGGTTCGAATCTATCCGGATCGAACGATTTTTTTCTAAGTGTGCGATCTTTGTATTAATAATTATAACAAACTAGTGGAATAATTTCACAAAAAAAAATTTGAATATCTTGGTAGTAAAACATTGTGACATTCAATAAATTTAAAAGGTTGACATGCTGGTCTGCTACGCAGTGGTCCCGGTTTCGATTCCCGAGTAGGAACAAACATTTGTATGGTCTACAATTTTTCCTCTCGTGAGTTTTGAGTTTGAGTGGGTGTAATTTGTGTTTGTCTATTTGTGTGTCCATGGCACCCGCGATTAGAGATGGGAAAAACTGCTTATTTTTTTAAACGTTTAAATGTTGTGTTTTTATAAAAAAGTGTGCTTTTTAAAATCGTTTAGAAAAACGTTTAAGAGCAACGTTGTGTTTATAGCGAAAAGTAAGAGTAGACTACCAAAGGTTTTAATATAAGTAAGTTTATTTGTTAAACACGAGTTTTTATTTTTTATGACGAATTAATTTGTTTAGAAAACATAGACGGCTGGACTTGAAACATAAACTGTCTCCGTGACCGAACGGTTCCCATAGGTACTAGAGGTCCCAGGTTCGATTCCCAAGCGAAATATTTTTATGGCCTACATTTATTTCTCTCGTGAGTTTGGGTGTAATTTGTGGTTGTCTATGTGGGTGTCACAGGGTGTTCCCTAGTGCGGAGCTATGTTGAGTATGTGCGAGTGTGTGTGTTATAAACACCCTGTAAAAAATTAAATTGTTGAGTATTGAACGGACCAACGCTTACACTTAAATTGAAAAGCGTGCTTATGCGCTTATTTTAAAAAGCAACTTTTTTAAGTGCTTTTCGTTTAGACGCTCGACTCTGCCTATGATACAGGGTGTCCGTTGCGAGCATGAGTGTGTGCGCTGTTGTGTTATGTTGTTGTTAAATATTCTACTTTGATTGCCTACTTATTTGAGGGTGTTAGGGTATTGCACCCGGGGTCTACATAAGCTAGAGCGCATAAAGTAAAACAAAAGGCATTTTTTAGGCAAACGCGTTTCATCGTCAGTCACAGCGTCGCTTAACATCAGGTGAGATTGTGGCCAAGCGTGTGTCTATCATATATTTTTTTTTAAGAATCAAAGACAAGAATTAGGTACCTTTCATCTGTCTTAATCCTCTGCCCATTTCGAAACCACGAAGTCCTCGCCGGTGGCGCAGAGAATTCCAACCTGGCCGTCAGAGTCGCTCGCAGACCGACTGCTGTATGTACGAAACTACGCTCTGCACTCACTTCTGGAGCATCTGATGGCAAAAACAATGATATAGTGCAATCACTTATCAAACTAGCACTGGCTCATAGATTTAAGAAAGAAGTAACGTTGAAATCTTCACATTGATTGAACAATCATTCGTAAGGCTCGACTGATAAAATAAGCTCTGAGTGTCTGGTATTTATAAGCAGATATTTTTCGCATTTATATGTATACGACAACAATTTTAAAGTATAACACGTACGCTTAATTGGTGTAATGAAGCCACGTCAAAAGTGATTTTATCACATGAAAGTCGTAAAAATATTAAGGAAACAAATTATGTATATGTGAAATTCTATAACTTTCCTATTTAAGCATAAAAAAGTAGGTAATCGACTAATTTTGTTGGTGGAGTCTTTAAAGCTCTCTATTCAAAAGTTGTCATTTTTCAGGCCTTATTAGAGCGATCTCACACGATGCGTTGCGTCGGTGTTTCGACGCCTGAATGGTGATGCTGCGTTCTACTATAGTCGTCACCAAATAAGAGGCCAAATTTGACAGCTAAAGAAGGCGATAGTATGTAACTTTGAGTGCGATCAACGATACAATAAAGAAACCATTATTAGCATAATTGAGTTTAAAAAATACATAAATTTTATTGAAACATTTATAATATGACAAAACATATTTGAAGTACTGTTTTCGTACTAATTCCAAAATAAAATGCAATTTTGAGTTACCCCGAAACGTCCTGAAAACAGTTACGTCCTCAAGCTATTTTTTTTTAAATAATAGTCTTGTAAGCAATTAATCGTCGCATTTCACCGAGTCACTTCGATTTCTCGGAAAAAATATTAGAAAACATTTTGAACATTATTTGAGATTGTTTGTTGTTGACATTGACAACTTCTAATAATTAAAATTTCTTTAAATTAAGTTTAAATTAAATTCAATTCTAATATAAAGCTCTGAGTGGCACTGTACCTGTTATGGACAGGCGTGTAGGTTACCATCAGGCGCACGACTTGTTCGTCCCGTCACTTGATGTTATAAAAAAATACAAAGTAGCGAGAGATGTGTGCAAGGAATGTGTGGGAGTGATGCGGGCGAGGAATGTGTGCAAAACGGTATAGGAAACTAGAGGTACAGAAAGTATGACACTAACTGACACTGACACATCGCCACCGCTCACCCCGCCCGCGCATAGCTGAAAAGAGTCCGTAACGCATCCTCGCACCGCCTCGCTACCTCGCACATCTCTTGTGTAAAGGCAGTCTTAGGTTGCGAATAGATCATCAACCATATAGGAACAAAATCCTTCAGCGCGTCTCGCTGGTTAAGTCAAGACTAAAGAAGGGGCCGATGTTAAATTATCAACCTTGTATAACAACTCTGATGAGGCCCCTTCCTGGGTCTCCCACCCCGTTGTCAGCGACGCACTCATACACGCCGCCCATGTGTCGATTCCCAGCCTGGAACTTGAAGCGATCGCGGTGCGAGAGAAGAGGCATTTCTTCGCCCTGAAAATTCATAAGTAGGATATTTACAATCTCAAATAATTCTTTATTTCATATATAAGCAAATTACACTCGATATCGTCATATTGATTAAACTGTACTATTAATTTGTAAGGCAGATGTTTCTGAGAATAATGTGTAAGAAACTCTTTATTCATTTATTTTTAGGACAACCACCAAGACATGAGTTAAATATTACAATGTAGAAACAGTGACATAGAGACATACCTACAAAATTTTGCGTCAATTAAAGGTCGCCATGGCATGCAAATATCGACAGTGGAAATGTCGTAGGGAATATTTTGTCGTAATGGAAAATGTCGCCTACGACATTTCGAAATTCGATGCATCAACGAAATTATTACCCTTGTGTGGACGGTGGAAATTTGATATGTCCTAAGACACATTTCGTCGTAAGGTCATTTTCCCTTACGACATTTCAAATTTTCATTACCGATATGAACACGGCAAAAAAAACAGTTGATTCAATGAAATAAAAAAATATAGATAGCTTAAAGTAATTTAAATAATATAAAATTTAATTATTAACAATAGTTACAATTAATTAATTACTTTTATAAAAAAATGGTAACTCCATTAAAAACAAAATAAATTAATTACAAATATGTGTAAAAGGAAAGTACGAGATAAAAATTTAGGTTAAACTACATTGATGCGGACGTGAGAGCAGACTTGATTGGGTTGCTCTTTGTAAATAAGCATTTGTACACATTTATCATTTAAAAGATTTATTTCAAACAATCGAGACAATCTGCAAGTATTAAACGGGTCACTGCGCACTGCTATGGATTTTTGCAAAGTACATTATTACAGAGGTCAAGATAAGATAGAATAAGATAGAGGTCAAGTAAGAGGAGTATAAGTTACTTGTACCTATTAAACTAGTCAGGCAAACCCAGTTTGGTTTTCACCAGTTTATTTAAATTTTCCTTTTCCTTTTCAAAAACTGTAGGGGTCGTTTTCAGATAACCTCCAAAAATGCGTCCCTTTCAATAACTTTTATGTTACTACATGAATGCTAAGTCGTCGCCTTAATTTTAAGAAAAGAAGAAAAAAATTAAACACTCGTGGAAATCGCAATATTTCCCATCGAGGATAAACTCTAATAACTTACACGTCGATTGCATACCGTAACTTTCCAATTTACTATAAACAAACATATTTTCTTGGGAATACAAAATGTGTTTCAATTTTTCTTATCATTAGTGTCAATTCAACTAAAAGCCTCCTAGTAACAAAAGTCATACCGCATCACCTTCACCCTTCGCACACGTGAGAAGGGGCTCCTGTCAGATTGGAGTGTACACAGTGAAGTAACCGGTGCATCTCCGTTTTAGCAAAAAATCGACTTAAATACCAATTTTAGCGCGAGTGACTAAATCGTTCTCATTAATGTAAAGCAATCTATCTAAATAAGTGTTAAGTAACAGTTTTATAAACATTATTGTACATCAATTGGATAAAGGGAACTTTAAAATCCATATACATTTATAACGGTCCAGCATATTTTAAACACTTGACAATTAAAAATGTATCCAAATTTATTTTTTAAATAAATTTATTTATTATTTATACATTATTGTCGCTCTCATTCTTGTCTACTTTTAAGTCAAATCATTACTTTAAGCCAAACATTTACTTGAAATATAACAATTAGATGGTGATGATGGCGGTGATGATTGTAGTGATGATGATGTGAATGATAATAATGCTGATGATAATGGTGATCATGATGATGATGTTGATGGTGATAGTGATGATATATTGACGTACAACAAAGTTTATATGACATTAACAAAATACTTATTTAGATTTATTTATTAATTACATGTAGATAGATAGATGGTCTTACACGGATGAAAAGGATTTTTACACAAAAAGTTGTATTAAAATATTTGTTACATGCTAAATGTTGTTAAATGTTCTTCTGTGAACGATAAAATGTGTGTTGTAATAATAATTTCTCATTACTGTGCCGTCTATCTCATTTATGTTTATGAGAAAATCGTTCGTGTTGCTGTAATCTCATTCGTGTGACCTAAAATATCGTTTTTTGATGTATTTAACTTAAATATTTCTGTCATTTTATAATTATTGACATTGCTAGAACTTATTTAAACGTTTAAGACCTTAAAACCAAAAGAAAAAAGGGTTTTCGTAAAATTACAAATTTTACAAAAAAGTAGTCACAGTTTTTACACGAACTAATTTGTAGTTTTTGACGTTTTGACCTTCTTAATTATTTCTTATCTTAAAAGAGGTGAGAGCTCAGCGAAACCACTAAACTAGACTGATAAATAACTTTAAGCAAGCACACGAAAACAAAGCATAGTAAATAATTATTTATTACTCACATTCTTTCTCCAAGTAACGACTGGATCAGGATTCCCTGAAGTCTCGCAACCTATGTTTACGAATTCTCCGACCCGGACTTCTACAAAACCGTCCGCGGGCACTGTTCTTATCGTTGGAGAAGCTGGGGAACAGAGAAATACTAGTGATTGACATTTCTTAAATATAAGTTACCGATACTCATATTATGGTGATATTTTCTATTTAATTGTATTTTAAGTGGGTTGTTCTACCCATCAACACGAACTTTAGCTTTTACTATGGCAAGCCCACTAATCCCTAAATCTAATTATATTTAAATTTTTTTTCACTTCGAACTCGATCGATCGAACTTGACGATGGACTATGGTGTACCTAACTTTTTATTTCGATAAAAAAAATACACAATGACACGTTCAACTACGCAATTTGTCGTAAATTATTTTCTTGGTACTTGGTGTAACGGGCTGGTGTCCGCAACTAGACGTCAAGGCGCCTATTTTGCGTGTGGGTAAATTATTTATGTAATATAAATAAATCCGTTGGTATATTTTATTCTTAATATTGATGACATTAAATTTACAACGGTAACTAATTTTAATTATTAATACAATGATCGAACACTCAGAAAAAACACTCAGAAAAAATTCCACGAAAAAATGGCACGGTATGCAAGAAGACGTCGTCGGTTCGAATCCGACCGGATCGAAGGAATTTTTTCTGAGTGTTTTTTCTGAGTGTTCGATCTTTGTATTAATAATTATAACAAACTAGTGGAGTAATTTCACAAAAAATAATTGAATATCAGTTCAATAAAAATTTAATTAAGGTAACTAATTTTGTTTATTAAATTATTTTCATTCTTCGAAGAACTAAACTGATTTGTTCTGGAATACTACCCTAAGTGTCGGGTTGATCAAGTCGTGTGGCTGGTGGTAAGCGACTCAAGAGCTTTAAATCACAAAAATGTTCACTGCCACTGCGCCCGACCCCCTGAGACATAAGTTGACAAGTCCCATGTGCCTGTGATTTCACCAGCACCCTTATTCTTCGAAACCGGAACGTTGGCGGCAGAAATAGGTAAGGTGGCAGTACTACCCTGGACGGACTCTTTCACAAGGAGCTCTCCTGCTACTTAATTAGATAGGTATCGTTGTGAACGTTCGGAATGAATGGAACAGTTGTTTTTTTTTTCACGATATGAGGTATGTCCCAGCAGCCAAACATGCTCGGAAATTTCGCTTTTCTAAGGAAACCCTGTGTCATAGACAACCACAGATTACACCCAAACCTGGGCTCCGTCACTCGCTCAAGGTTGTGCAATAAGTTCCTACCGCTGTGCGCCGACGTCGGCGCAAGCTCTCATGCAAATCTTTTATTTATAAGCATTCGGTTCCGCACGATTGCACACGGCGGGCAACGTTATTTTCGCCTCTCTGCGCGCGTGCTAAAGTTCCTTTTTCCTCGTACTGAGCGCTTGGTGTCATTACTAAGATTTAGTCGGCTATTATAGCGTAAGTATTTTTGATTTTGTATGAGAGTGATATATCTGTTACATAGTAACTATTAAGTAAGCTGTGCCCAAACTCACAAGAGAAATAAATATAGGCCATATAAATATTTCTCCCGGCCCGGAAATTGAACCCGGGGTCTCTGCGTGGCAGTCCAGCATGTATCCATTCGACCTTGGAAGCAGTTTTACACACAACAAAATTACTGTAACTAGTTATTACCGCTAATATTTTGACTCAAGGCAATGAAAGTAAAATATACCCTTGCAAGCGAAATTTTTACCATTATTACTTTTAAACTTTTACTAATACCAATTTTTAGCTAGGTTAAACTTTTTTAATTTTTATTTTACAGTGCATAAATATGACATAGAAGTGACTAAAGAAAACTACCACACAGCCAAGTCATCCGCTCGTTTTTTGAGCGCAATACCTGTATTCGTTTTTTAAATTCCATTTTAAGATTAGAAAAAAAATGTTACAAAAAATGTTTTAAAACTTACACACAATATAGTAAATTTCGCTTTTTTGTAACTTATTTTAGTAAATATATTTGTAGCATTTCGTTGCACTGAGTTCTTGATACGTAATAAAGAAGCACTCGCTTGGTTGCTTACTTCCTGGAGCTTGTCAATAATATATTTATTTTATTGATGGGACTATTTACACCTATTTATTTAAAACAGAATTAAATTAAACAATTGCGACACAGTGCACGACTTGTTCGTCCCGTCACTTGCTATTACAATTATGCTGATGTATCCCAACGCTGTGCAAGGGCATCCCTCTCCCTCCCTTCAAAAAAAATCCGATTTACGCTTGTGTCGTTTGACTGTTGGTTCTCACACGGAGATTCTTGGCACCCCAAATGACTCCAGGGCCGACATGGCTACCGTCAATACCAGCACAGCCGCTGTTGTTGCCGGGTACTTGGGACCTTTGTTAATTATACCAATAATGGTTAGGGAGGGGCATTGGACACCAGTGAGGGGTGGTGGGGTATACAGGTCTATGGGATACCGTTAAACCCAATCCCTTAGTCGGCTTTTACGAATTGCGCGGGATCATAGGCAGCTGATACATTCTGATGTTTTTCTTTTGCTTCCAGATCGGTATATCGGCATGGTAGGGTGTCACTGGATACAATTTTAAAAAAGATACTTACTTAATACATCTACAAAGTGTCCTTGTGTGATGGGTGACCAGGGCGCTTTGCGAATAACCTGAAACAAAATAAAAAATATTGCTTAATTACTAAAATGACTAAATTAATTGAAATGAATACAGGCCTTCTTTATTTTTTATTTAATTATTAAGAAAACCAACGGCGTTACATAAGGTGTTCTATATAGTACATAGGATAAGGGTAAGACTAATGATAGGTTTCCTTCGTAATTAAATATAATTAAATAAAATTAACCAAAATGTGATCAATAATATGAGTAAAGAGTGAACAAGATAATACTGGTTTTAGATGCTGAAATCACACACACACACACACACACAGAGTCTCGCTTGTTGTTTAATGATACAATAAAGTCTCGCTTATTGTTTGATGACAAAATAAAATATCGATTGTTGCTTAATGATAAAATAAAGTCTCGCTTGTTGTTTAATGATAAAATAATAATCCTGGTAATGAAACTACTAAAAAAGCAACCCCTTCAATGTAGCGTCTGTCTGTCCTGTTATCACCTCTAACTTAATAAAATATTAATCTCACGTCTGAAAAGATCCCGCCTATAATTGAGTTTCCTAAATTACAGTATTTAATGACTGTTATACGTTTTGTGCTCGTAATGTACAGTATATAGTAAGGATATATTGAAAAGGGTATATGCACAGCTGTGGACCATTATTAAAGGGTGATAACGGTTGCGAAACGAGTAAAACAAAAACGCAATATAGATAGATAGCAATTAATTAATTTGAAACGAACCGTTTCGATCTTTATTAACGCTTATAAAATTTAAAATGTAGAGATGGGACGACAAGAAGTCTATCGATATATGTGTCGTTAATTGTAAAAGTGAATTATCTCCTCGTAATTAAATTTTCAATTAACGATATTTTTGCAAATTAATGAGTAGGAAAAAAATACAAGTGTGAATCACTGTTTTTAATTTTTCATTGTTTAATTCAAATCGAAGGTATAATAATTTGTTTATAATGAAATATGATGAAATGTGATACCATTTAGAAAAAAATATGAACTTTTACCATGAAAAACGCATATCAAACTTGTATTTATGGGTAGTTTGCTTGGTGTAATAAGGCCACTTAAACATGCAAAATGACAACTTTTCAAGAAAGAAAAATTTTTCGATAACTTTTTTGCTTAAATAGAAAAGTTATAAAATTTCACAAAAGCATAACTTTTTTATGTAGCTCGTGTAATTTTTATGACTTTTAGGTGGTAAAAGCATTTTTGACGTGTGGCCTTATTACATCAAGGTACGAGTTATTGATGGTGGAAATCCAGAAACGCATTAGGCTTATACGCTTTTGCATACATAGGACATCCCAGGATATATTTGTCTTATACAGCGTTGAAAATCAAATTGTTAGTGTATTGACCTCGATGAGGGATTGGCGACGTGTGGCGTCACAATTAGTCGGCGTTAGATAAGTGTGTTTTAATAGCAAGTTATGGAACGGTGACATCACATAACGTCGGATAGCACCTCCCGTCGCCACCATACGTCAAAAATTAATTAAACTGTTGTACTATCATTTTTATCTATGTTGTTTCCTTCAACTTCCACGAAAGGTTATAAATATCGTTAGGAAATTATTAAAATTTGAAACACCTATCAGTATGTCGAAATATAATAAACAGAGGTTGGAGGAACTTTCCTTAAAGTTTTAAAAATACTCAGATGGATCAAGTCTTTTAAAAAATTAACTTGTCTTTTTAAAATAATGAATGTTTATTAAAATAATTTATTTTTATTAAATATCATGATGTTTTAATATAATTCATATATTTTCTATGAAAATACTCCACTTCTTTGTTATTATTATTGTTACAAAGATGGTTTTAACACAAAAAACAATTCCGTCGACTCCAGTCGGATTAAAGGAATTTTTCTTGTTTTTTTTTGTTCGATCTCTGTATCCATAATAACTCAATACATGAACTAATTGAAACATACGGTTACTTCAACATACTCATAATATTAAAAAACAATTAGTAAATATAGGTCGTACGTAGGTGGCATCGATATGACCTTATCCCAACTCTATTCCTTTGTACAGAATTCCCGGGGCCAATTATGCAATTAATCAATTTGTACAAGTCTTTTGAGGCTCCCATTTTGTACGTTTCTTTTTTACAATTCTATCCGACGTGTTTTTGGAGTATAGAAACATGCCGTGAGATTAATTATTCAACTTTTTCAAATGAAGAAATAACATAAGAAACCCATAGATGTTCGTTATAGCAGTATAGGTAGTCGCTTTTAAAAGACAAAATGGTATCGCTCGAAGCTCAATCTTTTTTGAGTTCTTTTCAAGATTGAGTGAAAGTGAACGTGTTCATAAAGTTGAATATTTGTAGTTGTATTAGAATAATGTCACTCCCCTAAAGAATGTGTAAAACATGCAACGAAAGAAATGTTAGCAGTCCTGATTGAGGTATCTTTAGTGTTAATATCTATTCCTACAAAATAAAATGAACTAAAAAGAAAATATAATTAATTAAGTAAGTTCATTTTTTTTATCAGTGTATTCTATTGCTATTTAATTTAAATTATTTATGTAATGTAAATTTGTCAAAAATTTAAATTTAACTTGTGATTGTTGTTTTGAAATTGCCGTCAACACTTTTTGTTGTTGTGTATAATGTATGTACGTACAATGTAGAACACCCAAGTCAATTAAGACAAAAATGTATTGTGATAATGTTAGTGTTGCTAATAAATAAATAGTTGGTAATGAAAAGTGAAACCAATATGAAGAATAGACCGCCTTTATGCCAAATCAAAAAAAGAAAATTAAGTTGCTAACATTCCGTAGTTGTTGCTACAAAAATATATACGTTTTTTAATATTTCTCACAAAATTTCAGATGTTTTTAAAGAACGTATTATCGCGATATTTAGGGGATGATTCTACTCATAAATACGAATATGCTTCACTATAATTTAATTAAGTGTATAGGTATTTAATTAATACCTGTACAATTATTGTTTCTATTGCTAGTTTTTCTTTATTTCCCAAACAGGGTCATGTTGGTACTATTTAAATAAGATCTGTGTAACACAAGGAAGAATAAATACTTTGACTTTGACTACAAAAACAATCAGCTATTCCATCATCATCATAGTCGTTAACAGTTATACGTCCTATGGTTTAAGCCGTAGACTGTCTCGTTGGTCTAATGCGGGTTGGCGACATCACACGTTTCCTTTTTCAACGTGTAGGATCCATCATAATGTTTTCACCTTTGCCGAGAGTATTTGCTAGTAAACAACAAACTGTTTTCTCAATTCGAAAATGTTGAATTACGACAGTACCTATTTGGTTACATGTAGAGGTGGACGTTTACATGAAAAGCACTAAAAAAAATTCTGCATTTTAAAATAAGCACATATGCACGCTTTTCTATTTAGGCATAAGCGTTGGTCAGTTCAATATTCAACAATCTGATTTTTTACAACGTGGTTGTGTTTCAAGTCCCGCTATCTAAATTAAAAAAAAATGTATTCGTCAATGTAGTAGCAAATTTAGTAGCAGTAGAGCTCCTAGTTCATCCAGGGAAGTACTGCCACCCTATTTCTGCCGCCAAGCAGTAATTTGAACATTACTGCGTTCCGGCTTTGAAGGGTGCTGGTGAAATTACAAGCACATGGGACTTGTTAACTTATGTCTCAGGGTGTCAGGCGCAGTGGCAGTACCGTTCATCTTTGTGATTAAAAGTCTGAGTGGCACTGCTATTGTTAAGGACAGGCGTGTGGTAAGTGCAAGTGTGGTAAGTGGTAAGTGCACCAGGCACACGAATTGTTCGTCCCCTAATAAAACTTCTACTCTTGCTTTTCGCTATCAACACAACATTGCAAGCTTTTTTAACATTAAAGTCTATGCGCTTAAACGTTTTTCTGAATAATTTTGAAACTTCAAACTAAAAAGCACGTTTTTTTTAAAAAAACAATGTTCTATCGTTTAAAAATATAAGCAGTTTTCCCATCTCTAGTTACATGTGCTTGCTCTATAGACATTCAAATTAGTTCCATTCTATAATCGAACTAACTTTGAAGGTTCCAAAAGAGGTAAAGTAAAATAAATCACCTATATTCCAGGTTCTAGTTACATCACTTAAATTAGAATTCAATTTACGTTAATGATCTCTTACCTTGCAAAGAATTCGTAGTACCATGAGTTTAGACTTAGCTCTAGGGTTGATATTATGGATATCTTCTTTCTTATTGAAATTATTTATATTTTTACGGATATGTAAAATATTTGAGTAAATGTACTGTGATGCCACAGTCATGATACTACTCTCCTTAAACTTTTCTCTGAGAGAAACCCGAGAATCTAAACGATACACAGAACGAATCGCTCGTTTTTACAACACAAATATGGTTTGAATATCTGCCGCTTTACCCCGCATGAGAATCCCGTAGCATTATTATACTATGGCAGTAACTAAAGTAAACTAGTCTAGCAGTACTAACATCGGTAAACTAACGTATTCTGCGGACTGCGTATGCATCTTATATGTGGAAACCATTGGTAAGGTCACTCCCAAGAAGACGGCAATAATAACAAGGTCTAACTTTTCCTCGTTTATTTCTATGCTTGGACTAGTCGATTTTACGTTAGGTAATTCAAATTTAACACATTTTGTCTTCTTGGCATTAAGCAATAAATTGTTAGCATTAAATCAATAAACTACCTTGGAGAGGGGTGCTGTATTCAATTGCAATAGACTTATAGTAATGAATACATTTCGAGTTCTTAGGTTTTCGCGATTGTTACACACAGGAAATGAAACTATTTTTCCGGATTTAAATCGCGTATATTTGTTTTTTTCAAACAAACCGACGTTTCGGGCCATTTACAGGTCCCATGGTCACGGTTGACTGAGGTGGTACAGTCTTCAACCAGTTATGTCTAATATTGATGCAAACCACCCTATTTTCACTATAGTTACCATAGTTATTAATTAAATACCTTATTTTTAATTTTACAACAACATTTTAACATTTTCAGACATATAT